TTCGACACGACATTACGTAACACAAATTCAAAATTTGCGTTGTTGTGTGCTAATCAGAGGTGATAATAGGAACATTTTGGGATAGGTTTTGCAGACTTCAGGTGAAATTGCGGTTCTTTGTGCAGATAAGGGCTGCAGGAAAGTCTTGGTTGTTATGTAATTCCATGTAAGATAAATCCACTCCTCAAGACCTTATACGATTCGCCTCAAACTTGTGTGGCGGGGAGACAGAGTGGTTTGAATATAAAATGCAGAAACATAATGCGTACAGTGTAAAAAAAACGCATCTCAGCATACCCATCTTTTATTTCAAAACCCCGAAAGCTTGAATTATGTAAATAGCATGTATTTCACTTGCAAAGTGCTTTAAAATAAAATACAATAATTACATCGTGACCCTTTCTACCTCCGCTTTTTTATTATTATTATTAATTCCACCAGAGTGGATTCAACAAGTGCCCTTTTTCCTCGAGCTGGTCAAGCAGCCACACTGGTGCGGTGTGCAAATTGAACTGCCAGGCAATTAGTGACTGCTGTCAAATCAGCTATGCATCATTAGTCTGGGAAAGCAGAGGCGAAACCTGCTGATGGAACTGCTGTGGATCCCACACCTCCTTCTGCCGGTAACCCGAAACGGACAAACAGAAGTGTGTGAAGGTATTTAATTGCATTTCCCTGCAGGAGAGTTGTCAAGCGAAAGGTTCCCCACTGGCATTTACACATTACTCTTCCAATTAAAGGTACAAATTGGGTTCTGTGTCTTAGCCTATTAAAATTCCTTAATATTTCATTGTAACTGCTCTTTGAATTATAAAAAAAAACAGCACAAAATAGGCGAGGCTTTCCAATGACAGACTGAAATACCTCCTGAAGCTGGCCTCATCAACATGTAGATGACTATTTTCTATTGACATTTTTTTAAGTGGTTTGTTTCAGATGCATGTTTTAGCCCCGTTGTGTACTTTGCATGGTATTGTACTATTTTGTGTTTTATATGAGACTTGAACATATTGAAACATTTTACTTTTCATGAAAGTCCTTCTTTGTCGTAATGGTATTCATTCTAAAATGAGTATTTGCCTTTTTTGTTCATATAAGTGTGCATCTGCATGCAGAATGAATCTGCATGTACATGAATGTGCAGGGGTGTATGCATGCATGTGTATTAATGTGGTACCTCAAATGTGCTCTAAATTACAAATTGCGTCATATGTCTTTCATGCTTTTACATTATGTGATATGACAAATTATGGTGTGATTTACACAAGGCACATTGCTGCAATATCACAAAATATGTTGTTGGTGCCAGTGTTCGATTAATAACACACTTACGTATTGTTTGTACGCAGCAGTAAATGTTTGTTTATCACTCTACACATTGCACACGCATTCACACATTGATCACATCTATGATTAAGCATACTTTTTTTACAGTGTTTCAACAATTGTGCACACACTTTTACATTTCAAGTGAACGCAATAGTCACTGAAATACTTAACGTTGTAAATTGAGAATTTCACGTGATCGACAATGGCAAAGCTAGTTCATTGATTTTTGGCTTACAATTCTTTGTCAATTTGATTTGGAAATAATAGATAGTAATTGTCATTTCTGACTGTGACACCAGTAGATATAATGTAACCAACATGTAATTTTCAGCGAAATAATTGTTGAACAAAAATACATTAAAAAAGTATATATTCCTAAACATGTAAAAATATCAAGACAAATAATGCATATTCATAGATTCTGGGAATCCTTTTCGAAAAGGGTTTTTGTCCTTGATATGACCTTGCACTCTATGCTATGACATATGGATGAGAAATATGGACATTAAATTAAGACAATGAAAGGTGTGCAAAGAATGGAAAACGTGCAGAGAAGCATGGAGAGGTCCGTGCTTTGAATCGCATTGAAGGAGAGAGAAAGAGGAGCACGTGGGTTAGAGAACACATGCAGGTTTAACACATTGTATTGACTGTGAAGGAAAGTTATTGCATTTGAGCAGCGACGCATCGCTTGGAGAGGTGGTTGCCAGGGGGTCGACACTAATAATGGAGTGGCAGCCAAGGAAGGGAATGCACTCGAGGACATGCACCAAGGAGATGGAGCGATGAAATTAACTCGTGTGCAGGTGCTGGGTCGGTTTCTGCTGACTTGGGACGACGTTTATCCAGAAGTGGGTTGATGATTATGGCCGGAGACGATAGATGACATTGTCTTCGAAGAGATTATATCACGTGGCACCTCACGTGACGACTTGTGAGGTGTGGAATGTGATGTCACCGCCTTGGCCAAGGGTTTTGTATTTTATTTAGCCGTTTTTTTATCACCTAGTTTTGACCAATTTGAATAAGGTCAGTACATAATATACTGAGGTTTAGTTTATATTGGATTGTCTTCATGAGACTTATCGTGACCCTCCACTACAGAAAGATAAATTAACAGAATTAATCCATTAGACATTTCTGACCATATTTGAAATGCATAAAAACGATGCATAAAAACGTGTTCTTTTCAGTCCAATGTGGAATGTGGCCAGTCGACATCAAAAAGTGTGGAAGCTGTCGGAGGGGAGGTAATCGCTTAGGTAGTGTGAAATATATTAAAATTGAGAAGTGGCAATTTTCACGTGGATTTGGGGCTTAAAGGTGAGTCAGTGGGGACAATGCATTTAAAAAAAATGCAAATGAATGAGTAAAATTTGAAGGAATAAAATAAGTGACGTGTATTCATGTGCGTGAGCCTAAATCATAATACATGTAATTGCGCTCTTGATTATTGCATGAGAATGGGAGGAGATTTTTTCATTCAAATTTCATAAAATTTACTGCTTCTTAGATTAATACTACTAAGACTATTGATGCTTAGCGGATATTACATATAAAATGGAATTGGTTTTAACTATGCGTTTAACTGTTTTTTTATTGTACATTTATATTTTAGGAGACTGTACAATTAAATCACAATACCATTTCCACCTGTTTAATATCTTTAAATATATATAAACAACGATTTGTTCACGGATGAACATACCTTGTTTAAACAGTGCACACTGTACATATATTTATATTTTTAATAAAGTGCAACCTTTTTAGACACACACATTGCATATTATTCGTGTGATCTTGATTGTGTATGTGCATATGATTTTGACTGCAAGCATATGAATGTGATACAGTATATATGTAAACTTGTGTGAGCCAGTATATGTCTGTATGTATGTATGTGGAACTTTTTTCGCACCTTACGTAGCCAACCGTGCTAATTGGGGTGCGGGGGGAAGGACAACAAACTAAAGACAAAAAATAATTTGAAAGAAATTAGTTTTCAATCTAGATTTAAAAGTGCATAGCTCCAGTGGCTTCCTGATATCGGAAGGAAGAGCGTTCCAGACGGCCGCAGAAGCGCATCTGAAAGCGCCGCGCGATGCAGTGGCCGTCTTTGTTCGATGGCTCGCAGCCAAAAGCCGCTGCGATCATGACCGAAGTTCGCGTGATGGTTTATGCTCCTTGACGAGATCATTCGCACACCAAATCTGGTGGAGTTCGATTACTGCCCAGCGCAAATGAGTCATTTAATGAACAATTAAAGTATCTTGGAGGTATTTTATTTACGGTATGAAAACTGCCATGGTGGATAGTAAGAGTGCATAGTTGGTTCAGAACAGATGATTGTATCGAATGAGCATCGGTTGGAATGTGACCCAATCAACATCGAGTGATATGCTTAACAGCTGATCAGTATATACTTGATCGTTTAGTATGTAAAGAGTTGATCATGATGTCCAGCGCTGCTTGTACATCCTGCAAGGCTTAAGTTAAACTGAAAATATTGAGCAGTGATGACCTGTGACTTACTTCGTTTGCCACATCGGTAAGTTGTGTTTCACTATTAAGTAGTTCACTTTTAAAAAGCACTTCAACCTTATCTCATCTTGACTTGAAGCTTTCGTGACTGCAGGAATTCATATTATTTTTTTTTCTATCTACGTGGCTTTACCGAAAGACCCAAAGAACACTTATCTCATCTGTTTTTGTTTTGTTTTTCAAGATCAAGATGTCATCATGGCCAAATCCCTTGTTGTCACCACACTTCCTGAATGCTTTTTCTACCTTCCACTAGATCCCGCGGCTGTCATAAAGTAAACACGCGACCGCCAAGATCTGCCCTAGCAGTTTCACACCATCTGCTCTTGGGTCTTCCCCATGGTTGCCGGACTTGTGGAGACCACTCAAATGACTAAACAACGATTAAAACGAAACTATTTATACGTGGCTTTACCGAAAGACCCAAAGAATATAACTATTTCTATGTTATCATGCAAGGCCCACTGTGTATGGCTATCTTTCAGAAGCGACCTGGTCACAAATGATGACTCAATGAAGTGGCTTATCATGAGGAAATGTATAGCAGTTAGAAACAAATATTTACCATATTTTACATTGCTAATAAGCTATGCATTTATTTGTTTATTTATACAACTAAAATTGGTGCTAATTCGCCTCTGAACAAAAGTGCTTCAGTGCTGACTGATGTTTTACTTTGGGACCCATCCCTTGTGTTCTTTGCCAAACATGAAGTTGGCCCAGCCAAGGGATGTCATTGGTCCTTTGTGATTTAGCCTTCCACAGTCAGATGACTGGATGGTGTGTTTAGCCACATGATACTTTTGATTTTTCCCTGATTGTATGACAATACCTTAAAAATGTCAATCAGTGCACAGCGCAGGAACCCAGTGACCGCTGATGAAGACTGCATAGGCAGCGTGCACCATAACCCATCAGTCAAAGATTGTTGGGGGAAAAAAAAACTTTGATGTCTAATGCAGGACCATTCTACTTGTCTGTTTGCGCACAAAAGCAGATTTTTTTTTTAACGCGCACATAAATGCACGTCTGAAGCTATTGGCCATGTATTGCATATATGTCTTTGTGCGTGTTCCCTTACGCTTAAGTATGCGCGTGGGACTCGTGTGCATCCACAAACACCCCCACAGCGCTGCCGCGGTTCCAGCAGCATCCCGCGTCTCAGACGGTGCAGGAGGGCAGAGTGGCGCGTTTCCAGTGTCGGATCCGAGGCCTGCCGGAGCCGAGCATCCGCTGGGAGAAAAACCGTGCACCTATCGTCACCGACGCCAGGTGCGAGAGGGGCATGCGCCCACTCACAAAGCTGCACGGCCGCGTCCCAGAACACCCAATTACACCCACTGATCAAACATTGTCGCTACAAATTTTGATTTAAAGCTTTCGTGACTGCAGTAATTCATATACTTAGTTTTTTCGGTAAAGTCACGTTGAAGGGAAACAACAAAATAATAAAATATATATAAAACAATAAAACGACCGTTTGAGTTATGGTCGAAACGTCGTGATAATTTTTTTATTGTTTTATATATATTTTATTATTTTGTTGTTTCCCTTCAACGTGACTTTACCGAAAAAACTAAGAATATATTGTCGCTACAGTTTATTGCACCGCGGTATTGTTGCTTCTGATCAACTCACCTTTAATGAAAAAAAACATGTTTTTATATATTTATTTTATTTTACCAGGTAAGGCCCACTGAGCAAACTGGTCATAAACGATAGCTCAACGAAGTGGCTTACCACGTGGAAATGTAAAGCGGCCAAATACTCTTAAACACACGTTTCTACATGTGGAGGGAAAAACCGGAGGATCGGGAGAAAAATCCACGCGACCACGGGGGAGAACATGCAAACTCCAAATATACAGGCGTCAGGGTCAGGATAGAATCCATGACCTGTATACCAGGCGCAGCTATTACCATCTTGCTACCGTGACACCCTGATCTCATTGGATTTCAGAAGTTAGGCAGTGTTTTTTTCTGGTTTCATGGAAGCTGGTTACAAGCAAACCTTATATAAGCACAGTTCTATTATAAGCGGACTAACATTGCGTTACATTGGTGGGGGGGGGGCAAATGGCAACGAATTTGCATGTTAGCGCACCTGGATTTTTACCGTATTAGGATGAGTGATGACCATGGCTTGCTCGGTGGTGCAGGGGTGGGGCCACACAGGTGAGGAAATGACAGTTGAGTGCCACCCTGTCATATATTTGTGGGTTCTAAGTTTAGGTTTATTTCATGTATTACACCGTGGTGCCGTTTTGCCAGTTGCTTGGCCATTTTACATGGGAGATCCGTGGTGTCAAAGAAACGCACGAGTCAAAAGCAGTACAAGCGTAATAGGACCATCTTGATTTGAAGCTTTCGTGACTGCAGGAATCCAAACTCTTTGGTTCTTTCGGTTATACCTACGTGACTTTACCGAAAGAACCAAAAGAGTATGTAACATGACAAGTTAAGTAAAGGTGCACGTAAGCTCTGTATTTTCGTCTAACGGTGACATAAACACACGCAAGTCGAAATACACAGTGCACACACGTGGAGGCAAGAAGCGCCAGAAGAAGTTAGGTACAGGTGCAAGTATGCTCTGTGTTTTGGTTTAATAGGGAAGTCAAGAGGGGGAGTGAAGGGAGGGAGCCAAGCTGGAGGTGAGCCGCAACGGGTATTCCAGAAACGCGGAGCAGCAATGCCGGAAACACTTTTTACAAAACAAAGTTTCAGCAAATTGAATTTTTAGTAGGAATAAGGAGGCACTTCTGAGACCACGGGAGGGAGTTAGAGGGACTCAGTGGTCCTTTAGGTAATTGGCGGATTTGTTTAAGAGGACCTTTAGGATGAAGACAGCCCAGTGGTGCTCTCTCTCTCTGGATATCCAGGAGGGAACAGATTTGAATTAATGTACAGCTTGGAATGATGGGTTCTACAGGGGGCGTCAAGGGCCAAATGGAGAGTGGAGTGGTATAATGGAATGTTGATCATTGTGGGTCTTAAAAGACAGTTTCGAGTCCAGGATAATGCCTCGATTTTAAAGTTGTCAACCTGCTCAATAAGATGTGAGTCCAGAGCCACAATATGCATACAGTGAGAGAAAAAAGTATTTGATCCCCTGCTGATTTTGTACGTTTTCCCACTGACAAAGAAATGATCAGTCTATAATTTTAATGGTAGGTTTATTTGAACAGTGAGAGACAGAATAACAACAAAAAAATCCAGAAAAACGCATGTCAAGTATTTTACCCCTCTGCAAAACATGACTTAGTACTTGGTGGCAAAACCCTTGTTGGCAATCACAGAGGTCAGACGTTTCTTGTAGTTGGCCACCAGTTTTGCACACATCTCAGGAGGAATTTTGTCCCACTCTTTCTTTGCAGATCTTCTCCAAGTCATTAAGGTTTCGAGGCTGACGTTTGGCAACTCGAACCTTCAGCTCCCTCCACAGATTTTTTTATGGGATTAAGGTCTGGAGACTGGCTAGGCCACTCCAGGACCTTAATGTACTTCTTCTTGAGCCACTCCTTTGTTGCCTTGGCCGTGTGTTTTGGGTCATTGTCATGCTGGAATACCCATCCACGACCCATTTTCAATGCCCTGGCTGAGGGAAGGAGGTTCTCACCCAAGATTTGACGGTACATGGCCCCGTCCATCGTCCCTTTGATGCGGTGAAGTTGTCCTGTCCCCTTAACAGAAAAACACCCCCAAAGCATAATGTTTCCACCTCCATGTTTGACGGTGGGGATGGTGTTCTTGGGGTCATAGGCAGCATTCCTCCTCCTCCAAACACGGCGAGTTGAGTTGATGCCAAAGAGCTCCATTTTGGTCTCATCTGACCACAACACTTTCACCCAGTTGTCCTCTGAATCATTCAGATGTTCATTGACAAACTTCAGACGGGCATGTATATGTGCTTTCTTGAGCAGGGGGACCTTGTGGGCGCTGCAGGATTTCAGTCCTTCACGGCGTAGTGTGTTTCAAATTGTTTTCTTGGTGATAATGGTCCCAGCTGCCTTGAGATCATTGACAAGATCCTCCCATGTAGTTCTGGGCTGATTCCTCACCGTTCTCATGCTCATTGCAACTCCACGAGGTGAGATCTTGCATGGAGCCCCAGGTCGAGGGAGATTGACAGTTCTTTTGTGTTTCTTCCATTTGCGAATAATCGCACTACTGTTGTCACCTTCTCACCAGGCTGCTTGGCAATGGTCTTGTAGCCCATTCCAGCCTTGTGTAGGTCTACAATCTTGTCCCTGACATCCTTGGAGAGCTCTTTGGTCTTGGCCATAGTGGAGAGTTTGGAATCTGATTGATTGATTGCTTCTGTGGGCAGGTGTCTTTTAAACAGGTAACAATCTGAGATTAGGAGCACTCCCTTTAAGAGTGTGCTCCTAATCTCAGCTCGTTACCTGTATAAAAGACACCTGAGAGCCAGAAATCTTTCTGATTGAGAGGGGGTCAAATACTTATTTCCCTCATTAAAATGCAAATCAATTTATAACATTTTTGACATGCGTTTTTCTGGATTTTGTTGTTGTTATTTTGTCTCTCACTGTTCAAATAAACCTACCATTAAAATTATAGACTGATCATTTCTTTGTCAGTGGGCACACGTACAAAATCAGCAGGGGATCAAATACTTTTTTTCCCTTACTGTAAGTGGCGAGACAGGTTTGGACCAGCCCGAGAATAACATCAATTTGGCCGTTTTGGCATTAAGGACTAGTTTTAGAGCATTAAGTTAAAGTTGAAGATTCTCAAAGTTCCTGTTGTAAATGCTTTTGTAGCTCCACCATGAAATTTCTGGAGGCCATCAGGGCTGTGTCATCAACAGCAAAAAAAGGTTTAATGTCAAAGTCAGAGATGCCTTTAGATTGTTGACATACTGAGAAAACAGAATAAGGCCGAGCACAGAGCCCCGAGGAACTGCCGTAGGAATGGAGCACCTCTGAGATGATGTATTATTGACAGAGAACATTTTAAATCGGCAAGATACGTAGTTGCAAACCCAGTGGGTGATTGCAAAATTTTAAAAAAATGTACGCATTTTTAGATACATTACAACATTATAGCATGATCCACGGTGTAAAATACTTTGGACAAAGGATGACGCAACGATGCCAAGATTGAAGACCGTTGAAGTCAAGAATATCGCCGGCCAAAGAGGCTGTGCTACATTTGTCTCGAGATCCAGATGACTTAGAATGAAATAGGAGCAAATTCTGAGATGAAATTTGTGATTTGTAATTTTAAGCTCTTCTCAAAGACATTGATAAGAGGGGAGATGATTGAGATAGGGCAGTAATTGTTAGGCTCGTCTGTCATGATAACTTTATGGAGAGGATGCACATTTTAAATCTGAATGGTCATTGTTCCCTCTTGAATAACAGTCTTGCAATTCAGTAAGCTTATCTAGATAAATAATATATCTTTTAAATAATAGCATTTTTATGAGTTTACTCATTGTTCAGTGAAATCAGTCCCTTCTGTGTGTGTTTTTTGCAGATCAAATATTTATTTAACCAGGTGACAACTCAAGAGATCATAATAGTCACATTTGCAAGAGTGAACTGGATCGATAATCTGCCAGTAAGGGGTGATAGTTGCTATGCATAATGCCAATCTAGTAACTTTTGGGTAATTCAGAATTCGGAAAAATGTAGGCCCTGACGTCAGCAACACAATGGCCTACTCGTACGAATGACATCAGGGGATCGTTAATGTACACTGTGAAGCAGATGGCGTGCAGTCTCACGGTTATTACGCCCACAGTATTAACCAGGGCGGCCGCTGAATTCGAACAATGTACTTCTGCAACAAGTGGCTTATGTTAAGCTGCGCCACCGTCCGTGTGGCATAGGGAAACATCCTTAACAGGAATGCTCTCCCCTTGCACATAGTTTAATTGCGTGAATATAGTCAAAGTGAAACATTTTCTTATTATTTTTGATTGTGTATTGTGGTTAATAGGTAGCAAATGAGACATTTTTGCAGGTATTAGAATAAATATCCTCTTATTTGCGTATCCTTGACAGACTCTGCCCACTTCTTTAGCGGTGTAAGGTGTCCAAATGTGTGTGTTTATCTCTGTGTTATGAGATAGAGAAATTTCCATTTTGGACTCTGACGACGGGTGCTGCATTAACCTTGTGTTAAAGAGGAGCCTCCCCCGGAGAGAGAAAAAAGATGTCACAAGGCTGCAGTGCATCCAAAGTCACTTCCATATGTCTATTGCCCATATTGTCACATGATAACCAAATTTAGTTTAGTACCCAGAGC